CCCCCCCCCCCCAGTTATACACTGCAGTGTCTATATAATGAGGTGATTTTAAAATCCTTGTTAAAAAAAAAACAGTTAAAAAGATCCAGTGTGCAACATTTACATGGCTCTATTGGCAGAAATGGAAATAATATTCACAGGTATGTTTTCATTAGTGTATAATCACCTTGAAATAAGAATTGCTGTGTTTTTGTTACCTTAGAAGAGACATTTTCATCTACAGACGCCACTGGTTGCCTTCCATGGATGCTGCCATCCAGGCCCTCTACAGTAGCCCAGAACTGACAAACCAAACATTGGCTGTACCACCGAAGTTTCTTCTTCGTGGATGGAAAGGGAGGGTGAAACAAGTGATTTGCAATCTGCAACTACACTGCTAGATGCCACTGAATCCAACACACTGGACCTTACAGTCCAGTGTGTTGAACAGTTGAACAGTTTCCAGTTCATATAGTAGAATAGGTCACCACTGATAGCTTTGTAAACCTGCGACAAGGTGTAAACCCTCCTTTGTTAGCTGCTGCTGGTGTGTAGTAGTACCAGTTCAGTATTCTGTTGAGAAACACCCAGCTCACTCATCTACAAGGAACTCAATTACATCTTCTACTAACTCGAGTTCACTCTCCCTTTTTGTTCACTGACGAATGTGATCGATCCTTCAGTATAAACAGAAAATATGCACATAAATAAAAGCCCTGGCCAGCCGATGAGGAAATTATGGTCTCGGGGGGGAGATGGATGGATGTGGTGCTTAATGAAGACAGCATGTGGTGGCTTACTGGAGTCACTGTGATCTAAGATGGGTGGACTGTAGTGACCATTTAGAGAGTCTACAGTAAAAAGGGGAAGAGGATAAATGCTTGAGAATGCCAAACTACTCTTTTACTCGTCCACTCGAGGAACTTCATACACTTCCTTTACATTTCAAGCCAATAAGTATTGATTTTTAAAGACAAATGCCTTCCTGCATTAGCTACTTTATGATGGGACTGGAGCCAGATGAAATTGTGTGGCTGTGATGGTGTCGGGAGGGAGGGGGAGGTCGGGGTCCAAATCTGTGTCTTCCTGTGGGCTTTAATTGGTCTCATTGATCATTTTGCTGAGAAATGCCAATGGACCCTGGTGTTACCTCCAGTTAATGTCTCCCTCGGCATCGCTCCACGTGCCAGATGGAGTCGTCTCAGCTCAATTTTTCATAGTGCGGCCCGTTTCCTCGTCCCGCCACACTGCACGGCCCGAGATAATGATGATGTGTGGCGCTGCAGTTGGCCATAATGCTTTGCCCCTGGGACTCCCATAAATCTTTGGGCTCGGACGCACCCACCCATATCCCGGGGCATCCAATGTTTCTTCCCCATTTTCATATCAGTTTTGGTCACATCTGTTTCTTTAGCAGGCAGCTGTGTCAAATTAAGATCATGTTAGCCAGCATTTAGGTAATTAACAGCAGCCCAGCATAAAACCACCGAGGACTTTAGCAATGAATTGATCAAAGCAAATGGAAAAGGACTACAAAATATGTGTCAGTGAAAATCTGATGAGTGTAATACTTGAGTGTTCCGGCCTTACAGTAGCTTCAAATGTAACATGAACATACCAAGATGTTTTTGTGCCAAAACCTAACCAAACCTTTATTTGTAAAAGTTAAATTGTTGAATCTCCAACTAATAAACAGTTACATTGTTACAAATACTATATAAACTATCTG